AAACCCGTTGAAAGTCACCCAAGTGGATCCAGTGTTGACTGATGAGGGATCATCTCTTACAACTCTCGTCCGAATGTAGAAGAAGAAGAAGAGACTGGATTTATACCCCGCCCTTCACTACCCAAAGGTGTCTCAGAGCGGCTTACAAACTCCTTTCCCTTCCCCTCCCCGCAACAGGCACCCTGTGAGGTAGGTGGGGCTGAGAGAACTCTTGACAGAAACTGCTCTTTTTCAAGAACAGCTCTTATCAGAACTATGGCTTGCCCAAGGTCATCCAGCAGCTGCAAGTGGAGGAGTGGGGAATCAAACCCAGTTCTCCCAGGTTAGAGTCCACGCACTTAACCACTACACCAAACTGGCTCTCTCCAGTAGTTATGCCAAAAAGGTGAGTTGGGGGCAAAGTATCCAGTTTGCTACAAAATGGGTTTTTATCACTCACAGGTGCTACTTACACGGGACTGATTGATAGATGTTTTCAGCTCCTTGGGGAGAACTGGAAGGACTTCTCCGTTTGTGACTGCATCCAGGTGCCTTTATTATTGAAACTAATTATTCCGTCTCCCTTACTGTTAAGTCAGAAATTGTGTCTCGTTAAGATGGACCGGCTCATTGATTTTACATCACTGAACTCATAGTTGGAAGCATCACATAGGATGTCTCACGACTGGACACTTTTTCCTTCTGCTTTTGCTCCTGTTGGTTTAGCAGCTTCTTCCATCGTTCCCTCTCCTTGCCAGGGAAAAAAAAAACAGAATTACTGGCTGAATTGTTGCATGTCAGCCTGCAGAGCAGGGCCACTAATCGAGGACAATTCCAATTCAAAACTAAAATATTATCCCCTCCCCCGGTTTGACTAATCTTGGGGACTCTCACCCTTCGAATGCCCGTCCTTTATAATTTATTTATAATGTATTTATTTATTTAAATTTATAACCCGCCTTCCCCGCGAACGGGCTCAGGGCGGCGTACAGATGGGGCCAATGCCCAATACATAAAACATTAAAACTGCATTTTAAAAACATTCAGTACAACATAAGTGCTCTCCACAACAACTAACAAGGGAACAGATGACGTCATCAGGATGGTATCCTTAGTGGACACAGCTCCACACAGTACCACCATTTTAGCGCTCACGGCGAGTTGGTAATAAAGGGCTAGGACAGATAGTAATAGTCGTAGACAGATGGTAACAGTCGTAGCATGGCGCTTGTGTTGATCAAGTGCTGAGGTCGACGTTTTGTGGTGGCACAAACCACTCCTGCAATAAAGGCAGGTGGTGGTGGTGGTGGTTTGGGATCTGCTGTGCCTTTTAAATCCTCTCCTGCCTGCTGAATGTCGGAAGGGGCCGTGGCTCAGTGGTAGAGCATCTGTTTGCTATGCAGAAGGTCACCAGTTCAATCCCCGGCATCACCAGTTAAAATTGCTGGCAGCAGGTGACATGAAAAGACCCCTCTGCCAGAGGCACTGGAGAGCCGCTGCCAGTCTGAGTAGGCAGCATGGACTCTGATGGACCGAGGGTCTGCTTCAGTGTAAGGCAGCTTCACGTGTTCAGTGTTGGGAAAGATTTTTGGTAAAGGCCTGAATATAATGCCGAACATACTATAATAGGCAGACTATCTAGCATTGCCAACTGCCTGGAGGGGAAAAAAATGTCCTGCCTCTTTAATTTTTTTCTTTAAAAAAATAAATAAAATAAAACCTTTATTAAGGATTAAGACAAAACCCATTACCAATTAGCCAGGAAAGCTGGCACAGATATTTTTTTAAAAAAATCCAACCAAGGGATCTACAACATTCTTCGATTGCAACAATTTCCATCTAGGTAAGCAATGAAAAAACATTGAGCACATGAAACATTCTCTGGCTTTGCCTTCAAGGGTTTATTAGGGAAGGTACGGAACTCATGAGATTCCTTGGGTATCCTGCATCCTTTGTCAGCTAAGTCGAGGCTCTTGAAAATGTACTACGGCTCACCCGGGTCCGAACAGATTTGCACAGGTGGTTTAACTAATTGTAGGTGCACCACTAGTTGTTCTAAAAACAATCAGTTACCATAAATGGAGAGTATTCATTACATCTGGTATTTCTTCTTGAGAGACAAAATATGATAAAATTGGTAACCATATAATAGAGAATTCACTATACCCAGCATCAGTATCTGTTGCTTTCACTATATCCGTTGCTTTCTCCATTATATATACATTTCATAATTTGTTATGTCATCAACTTAGTGTAGATCTGTGTTCCGATTTCCATTTTGATGCGATAGCTGTTTTTGGCTGCAAATAATAATAATGCAGTCCTTTTCTGTGTGTGGACTGGATACATTTTCTTCATTTCTAAGATTCGAGAGAATTGATTCCAGACTCCTATTTATTGCCTCTTTAATTGAGACTTCATGGGTTGTTGTTCCCCCTCCATGCCATGAAAACCCTCAGGTGCCCATTTCCCCACATTAAACCTCTGTCGAAGGGACCGGCCATCTCTCCCCAGGCCTGTTGGCAGCACTCTTTGAGGCTTCTTCCCCCACAGATGTTTCCTGACTAGAACCTGTCAGATCCTGCGCCTGAATATCGCTGGGCGCTTTGCCTTTGTTGTGTGGGGATGCAGAATCTATGATCTAAAGTGTTCAGATATGGGAAGTGCTTCTAAAAAGTTTAATGTAAAGCTTGGGGCAGGTCGTGGAATGGTGGTATGGTGTGGCCCGATCTGGTCAGACCTCAGAAGCGAAGGAGGGTCAGTACTTGGAAGAGAGACCACCAAGGAAGACTTCATAGAGGAAGGCAGTGGGCCAACCACCTCTGCTTCTCGCTTGCCTTGAAAACCCTGTGGTGTCGCCATGAGTGAGCTGCAACTTGACGGCATTTTACACACACAAAATGTGGCATAGGAATTATGATCATTCAGAAGTCCCAGGGCATTTAACCGGGGAACTCTTCACCAGGTACCTCAAAGCCCACCATTTCCTTTACAAATTCGGAGCGGCTTCTCTTATGGATGCTCCATACTGTCCAGTTGTTCTTCAGATCAAAGTCAGCAGGCAAGAAAGGATAAGTCATCTCTCATACTGGGTCCACTTCCGAACTTGTTACTGGGTCCTTCTGACTTAAGAGCTTCCATAGACTCCTGGTGGTCTCTTATTGATGGACTGATCGGGTTTGTATACGAGGAAGAGGAGGAAACTGGATTTATACCCTGCCCTTCACTCGGAGTCTCAGAATGGCTTACAATCTCCTTTCCCTTCCTCTCCCCCCAACAGACACCCGGTGAGGTAGGTGGGGCTGAGAGAGCTCTTTCGAGGACTGCCCTTGAGAGAACAGCTCTGAAAGAACTTGTGATTGACCCAAGGTCGCACCAGCAGCTGCATGTGGAGGAGGAGTGGGGGATCAAACCCGGTTCTCCCAGATTAGAGTCTGTGCTCCTAACCCCTACACCAAACTGGCCTCAGTAATAGGATCGTACCTGGCCTTTGCAGTGACCTGGACGGCCCAGGCTAGCCCGATTTCATCAGCTCTTGAAAGGCAAGCAGCGCTGGTGCTGGTTAGTCCTTGGATGAGAGACCACTAAGGAGAACTATGGCTGCAATCCGGGGGCAAACCACAGCCACCTCTGCTTGTCCCTTGCCTTGAAACCGTACAGGGTCAGCTGCAACTTGCCGGCACTTTCCTACCCTCTCCGGCCTTCCCAGACTGTTCTTCATGTCCCAAGTTAGCATCAAATTGCAGCTTTGCTGTCATGATTAGACATCTACTTCCCGTCGTTCTAGTGATCTATTATTGTCGAATAATCTTCACGGTCTGCGTGTTTGAATTTTGTAATATTTCCCCCCCATACAGGGTGAAACGAAGGATCTAAGGTCGCTCATGTAAGAATGCATTTTTACATTCCCCCCCCATAAATACCAGGCAAGTATTTCTGTCCTGACGACAAGATTGTCTCAGTGTGTCGACCGCGCACTCACTACAGTGTGACTTAATGTAGAGGTGGGAGGCTGGGCTGAAGACGGTGCTCCTTGGCTTTAGGGTTATTTATTTATTTATTGGATTTGTATCCCGCCCTCCCCTTAACGGGCTCAGGGCGGGTTCCAGCCATATAAATATAGTGCAACAATACCAATACAATACAGGGAAAACCATGTTAAACCATATAAAACATAAAGAGTAAAGGTAAAGGTTCCCTTGCTTGAAAGCCAGTCGAATCTGACTCTAGGGTTGCAGTGCTCATCTCCGTTTCAAAGCCGAAGAGCCAGCGCTGTCCGAAGACGTTTCCGTGGTCATGTGGCCAGCATGACTAAACACCAAGGCACACGGAACACTGTTACCTTCCCACTGGAGTGGTACCTATTTATCTACTTGCGATTTCTTGCTTTTGAACTGCTAGGTTGGCAGGAGCTGGAACTAGAGACGGGAGCTCACTCCATCATGTGGCACCCGGGTCTCGAACTGCTGAACTACTGACCTTCCACAGCCTGCAGTTCAGCTTCTTAACCACTTGACCCACCGCAGCTCAGTATAAAACATACCACTCTTATAAAAAGCCAATTGCCTCAGTGGTTGATAATACTGGGTATACATTTCTCGGAGATCTGTACAGTTTAGGATCTCAGACCCAGGCTATAAAATAGGGGCCGACCCAAGGAGGGAGGGAGGGGGACGCCCGCTGCCTCAACCAAAAGCCCATTGGAAGAGCTCCGTCTTGCGGGCCCTGCAGAATTGTCATAAATCCCACAGGGCCCTGATCTCACTCGGGAGCTTATTCAACCAGGCAGGGGCCAGGGCCGAAAAGACCCTGGCCCTGGTCGAGGCAAGTCAGACTTTCCTGGGGCCGGGGACCACCAAAAGATGTTGATTGGTGGACCTCAGCGGTTGCAACCCCTATTGCCCTCTGAATTCAGTGGGACCACAAGAAGGAGTGGCCTTCTTAGAATTCCTTGCATACCAGAAGGAAGGGAGTGAGCAAGACTTTCGATCACTTTTCCTTCTCCATTTGCTGCTCTCTAGAAAGGCTACCCGCATCCTGGAAAGAAAGGCAGATGAAATCTCCCGTCTGAAGGAGGAGCTGCACAAGCTAGAATCTCAGCTGCGTGTTCTGAATTCAGATGTCGACTCCATGGCCCGTCATGCTGTCAGTGAAGTTCTGCGCAGCTACACCAGCAAAGGCGTTACAAAATGGGTAAGAGGAAGGAACCGGAGTCCGTAAACAGTGAGAGAGACTGGGGTGAATCCTGTCCCTGTCCTTCCACCCTAGTGAGCAAAGTTGGAACCCTTCCTCCAACCTGAGTGGTTCCTCTGGCCACTTAAGTTGGAAGAAGGCTTCTTAGGCTGGGGGTCGACCCCTCGGAGGATGGTTGGATCCACCCCACTGTATTTACCCCAAAGGAAGTGTAGTGTTAACCTCACCCCCAAGAAATAGAGGTGGCCGCCTTGCATCAGCATACAAGTTAACTATGTACAGTAATAAACTTTCTCTTGGGGGGGGGGGAATATGGATTGATCCAAACATTAAATCAGCAGTGGCAAGCAGTGCTCCCTCTAAGCTGTGGAGTCTTGTGGGCAAAAATCCTGCTTTGTGAGCTACTGGCGTTAATGTTGGGAGTGAGCGATTCGGCTACTGCAGAAATCAGTTTGCTCTGGAGCCCTCCTTCCTGAGCTAGGACAAAAATGTGTGAGCCGGAGGCTAAAAAACTGTGAGCTAGCTCACACTAACTCAGCTTAGAGGGAACACTGGTGGCTAGCTGATTTGGCAAGTTTCTCCAAAGTCAAGGTCCTAGAAAGATCTGCACCACCCTAATGCACACTACAGTCCATAAAAGCAAAAGGGAGAGACCTCCCAGCTGAAGCTAAACAGGAAAGGTAAAGAAACAACCGGGGAAGGCGCTAATATGCAGCAATGTCTTTTAAAGATACAAGTCAAATACAATCATATATCAATATTAAATACTAGTACTGATATCACACAATCCAGCAATAAATTGATCAATCTAAAGAATCCACTATATATGAAAATTCAATAATGCAGTGCAAAGTACATGATGTAATTAACGAAGATTCCAGACTACTTCTCCGTTTCGATGATACACTTCCTCAGAAGTAAGTATATTTGGCATTCTGTGGCTGCGGTCACACGGAACATTAGCCACGCAAGAGAGACGGAAGACAGGCGGAGTTTCCGGGCGCGATCTCACCGGCACATCTGGGAAGCGGAAAGCTTCCGTGGCACAACCGAGGCTTCCCGCCGAAAACACGCAGCAAAAAACTAGTACCTCGGAGGTACTAGTTTCCGGAAACTGCGGAGCAAGGGCAGGCGTCTGATCGCGTTTCCGGTGGCATTCGGCGCCCGCCCATGTCCCCTTGAGAAAAAGGGTTTCCCCCCCCCCAAGTCTCTGTGGATGTGCACACGCACCCAACGGAGCATGCGCATTTGTCGTGTACACAAAAAAATAAAAGCAGTTTGCTGCACCGCGCACTTCTTTGTTGCGCGCAGGCGTGTCCTGTGATCGGCACCTCTCCCTACCCACGGAACCTCCACGGTACCTCCACAGAACCTCCACAGGAGGTCTGATCGCTTAACTGCACGTTAGTTTGCCCCGGGGCAAACTTTCACGCTTCCCCCCCCCAGTTTCCTGCCCGTGTGACTGGAGCCTGTGAGTGTCATCTTATTTCACATTCTTTTGCTTCTATCAATAGATAGATTTTAGTTTCAAATGTTCACATCAAGAAAATACATTCACAGACTTCTTCAAAGGGGCTCTAGTCAGATCTGCTGTAAGCTTTCCATTGCTAGAATACCTCCTAGACCACGGCAGTCCATATGCAGCCCCTTACGCCTTGCCTATCGTTGCCATTGAAGCAGGCAAGAGCTCCACAGCAGAGAAGCAAATAGGGGCAGAAGCCTTTCTGCTTACATCCAGGCACACCGCAGACGCCACCTATGGCATCGAGCAAGCAGGTGAGCCATGCCCTAAATGAACAGCGCACCGTTCTTTGAAGCCAAGCAACAAATATCACTTGCAACCACAACTGAAGCTTTGCCTTTAGGGGCTGCACATTTTTGTTTTTTATTGACATCTCCCTGCTCTGCACAGAGATGCGGGTGTACTGGTGTGTGTGTGTGTGTGTTACACATTTTTTACCTCTTGTCTATTGACAGACTGTTCAAAAGATGCTGAAAAAAGCCATGGACAAACTGTATGAAGACGACGTTCAAATGCCTGACTATGCCCTCGAATCCTCAGGTATTAGCGCTAATAATTAGAAATTGGTATTGTAGAAAGGTTTGTTGGTCGGACATAACATCGAACTGTCCAATCTTGGTTAAAATAAACACCATGAAGTCTACGGGATACCTGTGCAGTGTTCCCGGGGCCTGTCACACCTTCTGCACCAGCTGTAGTCTCTTAAAAATCTTCAAAGGCAATTCCACATTCTGATAGACCAGCCCTGAGGAATGAATCAATGTAGCTTAGTGCTCGTCTGACACAACAGGTCCCTGATTCCACAAAGCTAGTTGGTACAAAAGCATTCCTAGCCCTTGCCGTTCTTGTCCTGGAGCACCCTAGACCAGGGGTGTCGAACTCATTTGTTATGAGGGCAGGATCTGACATAAATGAGACCTTGTTGGGCTGGGCCATGTGTGTCATAAGATATAATGCCAGGTAGCGGAGATATAAACTTTATAAAGGACACAAACACAAAGGGGTTTTTTTACTTAAAATAAAAACATGCTTAAAACATTAGAACTCTTGCAATATTTTGTTTATTTAACAGTGTCTGATAACCGACAACTCTCGCTCTGAATTATTGCATCAAAATGTCTGTGCTGTTGCAATCTTGGGTATGCTGTTCAGGTGTGTACCTGTAAGGTGCAAACCTATGATGATGCAGCAGCAGAAGAAGAAGAGATTGGGTTTATACCCCACCCTTCAGTACTCAAAGGTGTCTCAGAGCGGCTGACAAACTCCTTCCCCTTCCCCACCCCACAACAGACACCCTGTGAGGTGGGTGGGGGCTGAGAGAGCTCTGACAGAAACTGCTCTTTTTCAAGAACAGCTCTTATCAGAACTACGGCTTGCCCAAGGTCATCCAGCAAGGTGCAAGTGGAGGAGTGGGGAATCAAACCCGGTTCTCCCAGATTAGAGTCTGCGCACTTAACCACTACACCAAACTGGCGGCAGCAGCAGAACTGGAAGCAGAAGCAGAAGACAGCCAGTTCCACTGCAGGCCTGATAGCAGCCCTCTGGAGGCCTCGTCCAGCCCCCGGGCCACATGTTTGACACCCTTGCCCTACACTGAAACATTTCATGGCTAACAGTGCAGTCCCAGAATTACTCCAGTTGAAACCCCATTGATTTCAGTTGGCCGAGGATGGAGTAAGCTGCCTGTAGGATAATCCTGCAAGGGAACCTGGGCCCCTCAAAGACCTTCATTCCTTCCCCCACATCAACTGTACTCATGGCCATAATATCCAAGGAGAAATTCCTCGAGCTGATCTTCTCATACAGTTGTCAGCTGGGATCCCAGAGAGGCAAAGCACTGTAGCCAAATCAGTTGCCAGACTGATATTTGGCCTCCAGATGCTCTTGAAGCTACAAGACAGTCGGCTGTTATTCATCCATTGGATTCAGAGGTGGCATTTTGCAGTGACCACAGTCCTTCTGGCAGGCAGATCCCAGAAGAAGCTGGTCGAAAGCGTATACCCAGAATTAAACATCGTTGGTCTTAAAGGTGCCACTGGACTCAAAACTCTGTTCCACCCAGGAGGTGTGGTTTACAAGGCACCTTGGGTCTTTATCTTGACTTCCAGGTGGCTCCACTCTATCACTATTGGTACCAACCATTGCAATCCGGCTACATTAACAAAAAAGGGTTAATTCTCCCGTATCCAAAGTTGCAGTTCTTATAAAAATAAGTGGTTTTTTTTTTAAAGGGACCAACATTTTGAGCGAGGCTGTTTGCTCTGTCCATTCTTGTGCGATGAACAATTATGCGCTTGAGATTTTGTTCACGCGTTGCACCGCACTGTTTAAACCTCGAGGCACGATGGCATACCTATTTGATTGCAGGTGCTTGCATCATTCAGTCCAGGACCACTAGGAGCTATCGCCACGAAGGAGGAAACTACTTCTGCGGCCCCGTCAAGGTGCTCCCATTTGTGAGATCCCCAAGCCTTATTCTTCAGGTACCAAAAGAAAAAGAAACTTTCAGGCATTCTTTTTAGAAATTCCCACCCTCCTTTTCTTCCCTATCACCTTTCCCAAAGCTTTCCTATGGAAGCCCTGGGTGTCGCTTAAGCTCTCCGTGTAGCCCAGCAGAAACAGAGCTTCCAGATAGCAGCTTTCCCCTCATTCCCCCCTGCCCCATTTCCCATGGTGGCCATTCTCTCCCCCCAACACTGCGGGGTGGGAGTGGTTTCTAAGTCTGTTTTCCCCCAAAGTGACAATAGACACTACCCTGACCGGGAGGGCCCAGGCGAGCCCGATCGCGTCAGATCCCAGAAGCTAGGCAGGGTCACCCCTGGTCAGCATTGGGATGGGAGACCACTAGTGTTCCCTCTAAGCTGAGTCAGTGTGAGCCAGCTCACAGTTTTTTAGCCTCTGGCTCACACCTTTTTGTCTTCGCTCAGGGAGGAGGGCTCCAGAGCAAACTAATTTATGCAGCAGCCAAATGGCCCGCTCACAACTTCAATGCCAGTAGCTCGCAAAGTAGAATGTTTGCTCACAAGACTCCACAGCTTATAGGGAGCATTGGAGACCACCAAGGAAGTCCAGGGTCACTCCACAGAGGCGGGCAACGGCAAACCGCCTCTGAACGTCTCTTGCCTTGAAAACCCTGCAATGGGGTCACCATACGTCAGCTGTGATTTCGCGAGAGGGAGAAAAAGGTAGACATACCAAGATACCATCATATCAATACGCCAAGTGCTGATTTTTTTTAATAAAAAAAACAACAACCTCAAAAAAGGTCTGTGATGGCATTCATGGAGTGGGGGCCCCTGCCATTTATTTACCAAACTTTTACCCTGCCCTCCCGCCAAGGCGGCTCAGGGCGGCTCACAAATAGTTAATACCAGTATACAATTAAAACCAGTTATCACAACTAATACAATACCAGACCATAAACCCATACAACATGACAGTAAATGTAATGGGCAACGAAGCAGGAAAAATGTCTGCTGTGTTGGCAGAATTGGTGTTATGTACTGAGCCTGAACAGTACCTGGAAACTGGCTAAGCTCGTTCCACCAGAACAATAGATAGCCAGGACCCTGGAATGGACCTATAGAGGAGTAGTTGTAATGTAAACAGCCTATTGTTGGTGGTAGGGTATGCTGGAGTGTGGTCTCTGCAGGCTTTATAAAGAGGGCTGCAAGGCCAGATTTTCTGTCTTAGAGTTGAGCTGAAATCACTAATAAACGATGAGCTGATCACTATACGCGTCCCGAAACCAGTATATTTGAACTGGGAAATTCCAGACTCTCCTACCCATGTGGCCACCAACCCAGCTTTGTTGCGGTCCTTTCCCAATCATCACAGCAACAGATTTGGAAAAGATCCCAGAAAAGTCAAGTGATACACGGAAGCACCGCAATGCTATGGGGAAGCACGGAAAAACTCCACTTCCCAACAGCACTGAACCCAGGGCAAATCCCTCCTGTGGAAACTGCCTCTGTCATCAGTTCATTCTTTTCTCTGTCGCCCCAACTCATTGTCATTTCTAATACCCTGACAATCACGGCTGTCAACCATGACTGTTTTTCTGTTAAAGGGATTTGGGGACAATGGCTTGGAGAGCTGCTCAGGGTCTGGCCGGGTCATAGGGTTGGATCCAGGCTGTTTCTCTGCTGGGGAGAAAGGGGGGGGGTCGTCCTCCTTGCCCGCCAAACACTATGGTGAGGATTGGGGGAGGGGGCTGTAACAAGCCAGAGACCCTGAGTGAGAAGGCTGGCTGGATCCAACCCATTATGTGTCCGAGGCACCATTTGGTAACATGCATAGAATGCATCTTACATTGGACAGCGACAGAGAGAGAGAAGTAAAAGGAGAACTAGAGTCTATCAAATGAAGATTTGGACAGGAAAAGAAACGGAGAGGAAAAGGAAAACCAAAATTGACATAGACTCTGTCTGATCGCTGAAGCTCTATCAAGGCTTCCTGTCCAGAATGTTAAATGCTTTCACTAATAATCAAGATTGTAAAGCGAGTTTTGAGTTGTATTCCAGCTAAACTTCCAGTTCACGGCATATCCGTGATCATTTTAAAGTGGACCAAAGGGGTCAAAATTAATCATTGAGAATTAATTGGCTTTGGCGGAAATAAAGCAGCGACAAAGCTTAGCCAGGTGGTTATAAAACCATTCCAAATTGCTTTGTGTTCGCTTGCAGCCTGAACGCTCCCCTGGAAACTGCTGGGCTTTTCCTGGACACCAAGGTGAAGCTGTCGTTAAACTAGCCACGAGAATTATCCCAACTGCTGTCACAATAGACCACATATCTAAGAACATCTCCCCCACTGGAGAAATCTCTAGTGCTCCCAAAGATTTTGCCGTCTATGTAAGTATCCTCTTTGAGTTTTCATACAAGAATTTAGGGAAGGGCTTTTTAAAAAAAATTTTTAAGGCTCAAACTATTTTAACCTACAACTTTTCTTTTTTTTATATGAAAGAAGGTAATCTCCAGGTTTTAACAACCCTAGTTCTGTTGATTATATAAGACACTAACTAGAATAGACTCCAAACACTTTGCTATAGTCATAGACTATACAAGAGATGTGTTTTGCACACAAATGCTGTTCAGAGCTCTTAAATTTTGATGTTTACGCAACCTGGTAGTCTAAATACCATACCAGGAAATCTTTCAGAGTATGCATGCATTCCCGTCATTGATCAGTTTAATTCACTAAACTCTCATTGGGATAGGTGACTTGTGTAGATAGCTAGTAGAATATGTCACACTGGGGCGATGCATAAGTATTTAAACAGAAAACATATCTGTGACGGCCACATATAAATACTTCAGTACTCTGATCCAAGTTCAGGGTTCCCTTAACTTACCAAAAGAAAAGCTGAGTCTCCTCTGTAGAATGTAAAGGTAAAGGTAAAGGTTCCCTTGTTCGAAAGCCAGTCGAATCCGACTCTAGGGTTGCGGTGCTCATCTCTGTTTCAAAGCCGAAGAGCCAGCGCTGTCTGAAGACGTTTCCGTGGTCATGTGGCCGGCATGACTAAACACCGAGGCGCACGGAATGCTGTTCCCTTCCCACCAAAGTGGTACCTATTTATCTACTTGCAATTTCTTGCTTTCGAACTGCTAGGTTGGCAGGAGCTTCAGATACCGGAGCTCACTCCGTCATGCGGCACTCGGGTCTCGAACTGCTGAACTACTGACCTTCCACAGCCTGCAGTTCAGCGTCTTAACCACTTGAGCCACCGCAGCTCCTTTCTGTAGAATGAGGGTGTATCTAAGTCTGCTTCAGCTGAAAACTCCAGACAGGCGATATTTGGATGGCCAAAATAAAAAGCTGTGTCATTAATCCTGTAATCTGCCTACAGCTTCCCAGCGTATTGGCACTTTAACACCAAATAAAATGGATTTACCACCTACATTAGAGGGGATTTCCAAGTCTCAAGATACAGCTATACTTCACTATGGAGCTTTTCCCCAGAGGGAAGAGGTTCTCTGTTGGGTCTGGTGTGCGACTAGAATGCCAGACACTGCAGATAAAGTCACTCGCATCCCCTCTGACTTGGACTCCGTGGTTCGTCCAGGTTTGGGTGACGTGTCTGGGGCAATCTGATTGTTTGCAGTGGACGGCAAGGTTTCAACAGGCGAAGATCTCTCTCCCCCTTGTTCCTTCTAACTTAAGCATCACACGGCTTGTGGCACCTGCTTGGCCCCGTGCCCATCCTCTGAGGATGCAGACAAGGGAAGAGGTTGGTGGTGATCACTAATAATGGGCAGCCAGGACGCCTGGCCAAAATTTGCGGATCACTCACTGGAAGACAAGCCCACTGCTTTGGGGCACACATTCCGATGACGATGCATCATATTTTGACGATCCTTTAAATATTACGCAAGGGCCTCTATAACAATATTCCCCGATCGTTCAAAATTCTCCCCTACTAAGTTTTAAGAAACCGAGTGACTCACATTATTTGTCATAGCCGAACGGCTAAACGTTGCCGCCCCTGAAACGGCATCCTGTGCTTTCCGATCTAACCAGTTCTTTGATTGCTAATGATACGCCTCCCCTCCTGCCCCCCCCCAAGGGATTAAAAGGAAAACACGAGGAGGATGGAACTTTCCTTGGCGATTTCGTTTATGACGCCGAAGGACACGTGATCCAGACTTTCAAACTGAAGGTACGGTGAGCACGATGGAAAAGAACAGCACAATTCTAATGCCACCCGAGAGGGTATTTAATGCTTGTTGACTCTTCAGTTGGAGAAAGTCTCTTTAGGCTGGCCGAAGGCTTCCAACTTTGCTCAGTGGAGTGGTGGGCTCCAGGCCGCTATGACTTCTCAACAGAACAGAACGCTATGAAACCCAAACAAAAATGTCTGTTTCTGGAACTCTATCAAGATGGGTAGCCCTGTTAGTCTGTCTGTCTGTCTGTAGCAGTAGGAAAGAGAGTCCATCAGCACCTTAAAGACTCACAACATTTGTGGCAGGGTATGAGCATTTGTGAGTCACTGCTCACTTCTTCAGATACCACGAGAATGTGAGTCCATCATTCCTATATATTGGAAAGACACTATATAGGACAGAAGGTGTTAAGTAGTGGGTTCAAGAAGTTGTAGTAATTTCAACATAGCTTGAAAGCCAATCGAATCCAACTCTAGGGGTAGTGCTCATTTCCGTTTCCAAGCCGAAGAGCCAGCGCTGTCCGAAGACTTCTCCATGGTCATGTGGCTGGCATGACTAAACGCCGAGGCGCATGGAACGCTATCACCTTCCCACCGAAGCGGTGCCTATTTATCTACTTGCAATTTCTTGCTTTCGAACTGCTGGGTTGGCAGGAGCTGGGGCCAGAGATGGGAGCTCATTCCGTTACGCGGTACTCGGGTCTCGAACTGCCGAGCTACTGATCTCCCAGCCTGCAACTCAGCGTCTTTAACCTCTGAGCCACCGCAGCCCCTGCCTTAGGGTACCCTACCTCAGTCCTACCTTAGGGAAGACTAAACTGAGGAATAATTACATTTAAAGGTACCAGCTGGAGCTGGGCAATAAGAGCAACAATGAGAAGAGCTGGCTTTAAAGGGCAGGAAGTAGAAAGTAAAATGAGTCGAGGCTGGGACTTTTCAGTCAACCAAAGAAACAGCCAGGGTTGGTGGTGGGGAACATGCTAGAGGCTTATAAAATCATTCATAGTGTAAAGAAAGTGGATAGAGAGCTTCTTCTCTGCTGTCGGTAGAACTTGGCCGCACCTCATGAAGTTGTTGGCCAATAGATTCAGGACAGATTAAAGGAATGCTTTCTTTATTCAATTACTAACTAAATTGTGGGATTCACTGCCAGGGGACCCAGTGATAGCCACAGGCATAGATGGTTTCTGAAAACGGTTAGGCAAATTAATAGAAGATAGATCTCTAATCTGGGAGAACTGGGCTTGATTCCCCCACTTCTCCACTTGCGCCTGCTGGATGATCTTGGGCAAGCCGTAGTTCTGATAAGAGCTGTTCTTGAAAAACAGCAGTTTCTGTCAGAGCGCTCTCAGCCCCCACCCACCTCACAGGGTGGGGAGGGGAAGGGAAAGGAGTTTGTCAGCCGCTCTGAGGCACCTTTGGGTAGTGAAGGGCGGGGTATGAATCCAATCTCCTCTTCTGCTGCTGCTGCATCATCGTAGGTTTGCGCCTTACAGATACACACCTGAACAGCATACCCAAGATTGCAACAGCAGACATTTTGATGCAACAATTCAGAGCAAGAGGTGTCAGTTATCAGACACTGTTAAATAAACAAAATATTGCAAGAGTGCTAATGTTTACTTAATATTTTAAGTAAAAAAAACCCTTTGTGCTTGTGTCCTTTATAAAGTTTATATCTCCGCTACCTGGTATTACATCTTATGACACACATGGTTCGGCCCAACAAGGTCTCATTTATGTCAGATCCGGCCCTCATAAGCCACTCTGAGACTCTTTTGGGTAGTAAAGGGCGGGGTATAAATCCAATATCATCTTCTTCATCATCAATGGCTGCTACCCATGGTGACTGAAGGGAGCCTCCACCTACAGAAGCAACAGACCTCTAAATACCAGTGCCCTCGGAGGCAACGTCAGCGGAAGACCTTGGCCTCTAGGCCTCATTTGTTGGCTCTTCAGGGCAACTGGTTGGCCATTGTTGGTTGCCAGATTAGATGGACCACTGGTCCGATCCGGAAGGCCGTGCTTAAAATATATACGCTTCTCCTTTCAGGGTAACTCTTCCGAAAGTATAAACTACGTGAAACTGAAAGTGCTAAGCAACTGGGGACACCCGAAATACACCTGCATCTATCGCTTCAGGGTCCACGGATATTTAGCAAGTGACTAAGCAGCATCCCGTTGCTGGATGAGGAACGAAGTTGCCATGCCAAGCAGCCGTGAATTTGCTGTGCCATTTTCTAATTAAAAAGAAATTAAAAAGAAATCACGGGCCATGAAATGCTTGTGAGAAGTTGTTTTTATTCTTCACTTTCACCCCCTGCTGCTGATTGATTCACAAAGCAAAAAATGGGGAGGGTGACGACATACTAAAGAGGCAAGAGATTGGGGGGGGGGTATTTCTCTTAAAAATATCTGTCTGCCCGAACCTTACACTAACCATGCAGTCCTAAACAGAGTTACACCCTTTTAAGCCCATTAACTTCAAAGGACTTAGAAAGGTGTAACTCTAGTTAGGACTGCATTGTTAATGTACCAGCAATACTACTAGGTCAGAATAAACAAACTTGCAGATCATAATCATATCTAAAACTGTATCAAATAGTAAGAAAATGGACAAGATATTCACAACTAAAGTCATTTTCGGTGCATTTGTCCTTCCAACTCAGTGAACATGATTCTAAAAAGAGTTTCTGCCTATCAAAATGACATCACATGATACTATAATTCATACATCTGTATTTTATGGTGGACTTGTTCTCGGGATCTGAGCTCTTCACAGCCCGAGAGTGGTCTGTTCCTTGGGATGAAATGGGCCCAGTCTGGCAGTTTCTCCATTGGCAAGATTGTTTGGGGGTAGCGGTTAGGGGTGTGGACTCTAATCTGGGAGAACCAGGGTTTATTCCCCACTTCTCCACATGCAGCTGCTGGTGTGACCTTGGGTCAGTCACAAGTTCTTTCAGAGCTGCTCTTTCACAAGCAATTCTCTCAGAGCTCTCTCAGCCCCACCTACCTCACAGGGTGTCTGCTGTGGGGAGGGGAAGGGAAAGGAGATTGTAAACTGCTCTGAGACTTCCTTCGGGTAGTGAAGGGCGGGGTATAAATCCAATCTCTTCTTCTCTTTTTCGTTGTGAAGAGATGGCTAAAGCAGCAGAACAAAATTTGAGTCCAGCGGCGCCTTGAAGACCAAGAGAGTTTAATTCTGGGTATCAGCTTTCATGTGCATGCACACTTTGAACCCTCAGAAATCGGGGAGCACCCATTCATTTATTTATCTATTTTTCACATTTGTATCCCGCCCTCCCCAATGGGCTCAGGGCGGCTGACAAGGGCAAGGTAATTAGCCGTGCCATAATTAAAACATATAAAACATAATAAGGACATCCAATACTTAAAAACAACGGTGCTCAATCAATTACAGATATCATACATCCAAGATGGAATCAACACAGTTCCAGGCGGTACTCCCATGATATTTGTGCCCAGTGGCAACGGCTTATCGGATCTTCTTTACATTTTCCAGGTTCTTCCTCCGGGCCTCGTCGGTGCATCCTTTAAGATACCATGACGGTGGTGGTATAGTAGGGCGGCGGCTCCTACTCAAAGGCCTGGCAGAAGAGCTCCGTCTTGCAGGCCCTGCGGAACTGCATAAGGTCCCGCAGGGCCCGGATCTCCCCCGGGAGCTCGTTCCACCAGGTAGGAGCCGCCACCGAAAAAGCCCTGGCCCTGGTCGCAGCTAGTTTAACGTCCTTGGGGCCCGGGATGACCAACAGATTTTGGGCCCCCGACCGTAGTGCTCTTGGGGGAACATGTGGGGAAAGGCGGTCCCTCAGGTAGCCTGGACCCATGTTCTTGTCTTTTGGGTCCATGGCAATTCCACCTGGCCTGAGGTTCAGGATTCCTCCTTCGCAGAGATGAGAGGCGCAGAACGGCAGCGAGGAGGGAGAAAAACACCCTCCCTATTTGGGAGTCCTGAAAAGTACCAGCCTTTGCATTCGCCTCCCGAAACATGCAAGGTTTGTCTCTGCCGAGCTCCTCCAGGCAGATTTCCCAGCCTTCCATCTGCCCTGATCCGAAGGGCCAGCAGGATCTGTCCCCCCCCCGTCTTTCCCCTCAGCACCACCTATTGTGGTGCTTACCAACCTCCAGGTGGAGCCCGAAGAGCTAGAATTATGACAGGTGGGTAGCCGGGTTAGTCTGAAGCGCGTTTAAGTCCACCACCAACGTTTTCTTCAAGGATCAGCTTTCGGGTGCATGCACACCTCTTCAGATGTACTGGCGAAGTCTGTCTGAGTGGGCGATCCTGCATCTAGCATTCACTCCACATTTTCTCAACTGGTAGGAATAGGGTTGCCAGCCTCCAGGTGGGGCCTGGAGATCTCCCACTTTTACAACTGATCTCCAGCTGATGGAGATCAGCTCCCCTGGAGAAAGCTGCTGCTTTTGGCAGTGGACTCTAGGGCATTTTACCATGCTGAGGCCCCTCCCCTCCCCTCCCCAAACTTCACCCTCTCCTGGATCCACCCCCAAAGTCTCCAGGTATTTGCCAACCCAGACCTGGCAACCCTAGGGAGGGAAAAGTGCAGCCCTCAAAACTACATCCAAATACCTCGGGGCAACGCCATACTGACTGCAAAGTCACCCCTGAACGGCCGAAGAAGAAGGTTTTATTCACGGTCTACGGCCAGAACATAAATGGTTGTTGTTGTTGTTCAGTCGCACAGTCGAGTCCGACTCTTCGCGACCCCATGGACCAGATCACGCCAGGCCCTCCTGTCTTCTGCCGTCCTCTGAAGTTGGCTCAATTTCATGTTCGTTGCATCGATGACACTGTCTAACCATCTCATCCTTTGCCGTCCCCATCTTCTTTGACCTTCAACATAAATTACAGACAATAAAATGCCTCATCGGGGCAATACAACAATAACAAAATCATTCACAATACAATTTAAACAATGCCTCACAATAAGATTATTCAAAATATGGTAGAGTACTACAATGTCTACTAAAAACTTTGAAATCTCAATAGTCCACTAGGTAAAGGTTTCCTTTGCTCCAAAGGCAGTCAAATCCGACACTAGGGATGTGGTGCTCATCTCCGTTTCCAAGCCAAAGAGCCAGTGTTGTCCGAAGACGAGGCACACAGGATGCGGTTGCCTTCCCACCGAAGTGGTCCCTATTCATCTACTTGCAATTTCTTGCTTTCGAACTGCTAGGTTTGGCAGGAGCTGGGGCCAGAGATGGAAGCTCACTCCCTCTCGAACTGCTGAACTACCGGCCTTCTGGTCTAGCAGTTCAGCGTCTTAACCACTTGAGCCACTGCAGCCCCATCAATAGTCCACTACATGAGCTGTTACAGTTTTTGTATGCCTTGCAGCAGGCCAGCCAAATCTAGCCCCCAGGTAAGGAAGGTTATGGTGCCCATCTGAAAGAAAACTGGGAAAGCACAATCTTCGTCTGCTGTTTAAAGGCAGGGCTATTTTTGGGCAGGAACACACAGGAACGGAGTTCCGGCTGCCTCCCAAGTTGGCCACGCCCAGCAGGAACTCATTAGCATAATAGGCCACACCCAACAGCAGGAACTCATTAGGATTGGCTACATTAGGGGTGTGTGGCCTAACATGCAAAGGAGTTCCTGCTACAAAAAAAGGTCCTGGGTTTTGACCACAAACAAGGTAAACAGAATAAGAAGCAAAAGGTGGGTGTGGCTGGATGAGCACACTTCTGGTAACATGGGGTGTGGCCTAATATGCCAATGAGCTGTGTCATCAGGGGTGTGGCCTAATATGCTAATGAGTTTCTGCTGTTGGGTGTGGTCTATTATGCTAATGAGTTCCTGCTGGGCTTTTTCTACAAAAAGAGCCCTGTAAGGTAATGACAGAGGCAGAGATTCACGGAAATGGTTATGGACCTTACAGTCAAACAGGACGTGGTCCAGCGATCCTATCTATGCCTTTATTACAGCCGGCCATAAAACAGCCATAGATCTATGCAAAAGGTACCATCAAATCCTACGACCAAAGAACTCGAAAGTGGCCTGCAGAGTGGGCCATAAAACCCGCAGTGAAACCAGCATACAATGCAGAGGGGACTTTCTGTTCCAACGTGGGTTTCCTACAACAACGGAGGGGAAGAAAGCCTTTGCAGAATCTGCCCCCGAAGTAAATGTTCCCTCTAAGCTGAGTGAGTGTGAGCTAGCTCACAGTTTTTTAGCCTCCGGCTCACACATTTTTGTCTCAGCTCAGGAAGGAGGGCTCCAGAGCAAACTAATTTATGCAGCAGCCAAATCACTCTACAGCTTAGAGGGAACATTGGTCCAGAGCAACCTAATTTGAGCAGTAGCAAAATCGCCGAGACACAACTTTAATGCCGGTAGCTCACAAAGTAGAATTTTTGCTCACAAGACTCCACAGCTTAGAGGGAGCGCTGGTGTGTGTGTGTGGGTCTTCACTGGGAATCCAGCTTCGTTCCTGGGGAGTTGTGATTTAAAGCGACACTTCCGGTTCCCTGTAGGCGGCGGGGAGGCCATAGAGTGTCTTCGAAGGGCTAGCGCGGCCGCTTCCTGCCTCGGGAGCGAACCGCTCCGGCCGGCCCCGCAGGTGGCGACGTTCGAATGGGAGCCCGAAGTGGCAGTTGGCGGCTCTCGGCCTCTGTGCCGCCGGCGGGGTGGGCGTTCACGAAGGGCTAGCGCGGCCGCTTCCTGCCTCGGGAGCGAACCGCTCCGGCCGGCCCCGCAGGTGGCGACGTTCGAATGGGAGCCCGAAGTGGCAGTTGGCGGCTCTCGGCCTCTGTGCCGCCGGCGGGGTGGGCGTTCAGGGCGCCGGCAGAGCAGCAGCGGCGGCCTCGGCCATGCGCTTCCGAGCCCGGATCGTCGACGTGAGCTGCCTCAACCACTTTACCCGTGAGTGGGGGCCGGGGGGGGGGGCGGGCAGGAAAGGAAGAGGGGAGCAGCCGGGATGATGCCTGCCTGTGAGCTTAGCAGCCGCTGGCTAATAGGGTGCAAACTTTACAGGGGAAACTCCCCCCACCTCCCCAGCTTTCAGAAAGGGTAGAAGCTCCGTCTTTTCCTGC